TGGGTAGGATCGAGGGTGGGAGGTGGGGATAGGTAGGGCAGGGAAAAATGATGGTGGGAAAACGGAGATAACTGTACTTAAACAATAAAAAGAAAAGAAAGAAAAACCTTCTGTTCCTAAGTAGAATATGCAGCCCAGGCAGTGTGAGCACCATTGCTGACCTGTCCTACGTATTCCTTCCTACCCGATCATTTAGTAGCTATAATGCTTCATATTTGTAAATTATCTATAAACTTATTCAGCAATCCTATCTCCCTCATCAGAGTGAAGTCAGGGAAGCAGAGCACTGCTGAGCAGTCCCAAGGTCCACGGTGTGTTGTGAAAGCTGAGATGAAGCACTCATTGCCTAACGTTTCCTCCACTGTCCTCTGGATAAACATGTCCCCTGACCTCACTATCATAATCCCCAGATGCAGAAAAACATGGAGAACCATGGCAAAGGAGATCTCAGAAAAAGAAGTAAAAAACTCTATTACATTTCAGGCTGAAGCCACACAGACTCCAGATACCCTGTGTGCAGCAGGCACCTCTCTGATGCATTGAACTTACAAAAATTAACCAAGTACCACCAGTGGCCTTCAGCAGGAATCATTCCCAACACAAAAATAAGTATTATATGAAGTTCAAAAAGAAAGCCTGTAAAGAAAAACCCCCAGAAACCTTCAAGGGTCCCTTTTAGTGCTGTTAGATTACACAATTTATAAATGGATCCCTCTCTTCCCTCTGACTGTCCTCTTCAATTCTATCGATGTCTCCCTCTGCTTACACTCATTATATTCCCAAAATGGTTATCCAAGCTAAATGAACTTCGCATCTCATGCTCTACTACAATCTTAACCTTTTTGGTGGTCAAAATGTTACTGAGAATCCCATTAAGTCCCTGACTTTCTCTGCACAAACAGGCACAATTTCAAGGAATTCATATACGTTCTGGGTCCCCTGGGCATTAAATACCTCTGTCCTAGTGGCTACCTTCTTTCCTTTATGCATTGAATTTGAGAAACACTTGGCAACCTACCTCTACCTGTAAGAATTACATAGCCTATAACAAATTTCAAGAATCCATAGGGACTCCTTTTGAAGGGGTGTCCCATCCACCCCACTGATATGAAGACTCTAGAAGAAAGTCATCTCTGATGGGCTCAGGAGGTTCAACCAATCTGACACACAAAGTCCTGAAGGGCACCTCCCACTCCCAAATTATGATTCCTGGTCTCAGTGACTGCCCTCACACATGTACCAATGTGACTTTGTGGAGGCTGCTGAGACTCAGTCTGTTACAACTGGCATCAGTTGCCATAAGCAAGTTATTACAAGAACCTGACCTTGGTAAGCACATTTTACACTTGAGTGCTGTTCATCTGGGTGACACCAAGCAGGGAGCAGGGAGGCAGGAAGACAGAGACAGTGCCAGAGCATTCTGCCAGGCACTGCCCCCACTCCATGAGCTGCAGAAGCTGCCTCACCCACACAGAGGGACTAAGCCCAGAAAGCCAAATTTTTGAGCTGCTGCTGAGAACCCCAAAAAAAGCAATGCTATTTCTAACCTCCTGCACCATGGAAAAATACACACACCACCAAGCAACCCAAAATCGCTGAAAGGTTTATTTTTATACTCTTCCCCACGTCCCCTACCCAAACCTCCCCCACAAAATTTTTAAGTGGAAAATTTACTAGCTTTTTAGCAGTTTGACACTGCTGTGCTATGAAGCTGCTACATGTTTGACTTAAATCAAAAAGTAAAGGCATTTTTCTAATACAACTCTGAATGTCTACTTAATAAGAAAATAATATAGTCTAATAATATATAAAAAAACAGAATCCAACAAATAGGCAGAAAAAATTCCCAAATTTCCAGGCCACAGACAGAAATGACAGGAGTAACAAGTTTTTCTTATACTCTAAAAGTTGTGTGTCCGCGTGCTGGTTTTCCCCTTCGCATTGCTGTTTTTTTCCTAATTCAAAGATGGCACATAGCATCCCTGATGCCCTTGCTGAGTTTCAATTTTTTCAGTGCACTCTTAACTTAAAATTGAAGAATGAGGGAAAGCAGTGAGATAGAGCTCAGATCTGAGTCCCCTGATGCTGTGTAGACATGGGGCAGGCTTGAATAAGGCCTGAAGAAGCCTTCTGGTTGGCTCTCAGAAGCCAAGGGACCCCAAAACTAGTCTGCATATAATCTTTCCCAGGACCTCACCCACTAGGAACCTTGGAATTACTTCTCTGATGATGATCCAGAAGGTCAGAAAGGCACCAACCTACAACTTCCCAGCTTCTCATATAGATGGGAAGTCTTAGTACAGCCTCTGAATAATTTTTACCTAATTGTAAGACAGAGTGTAAGTCCTCCTTCAACTTAGGGAACCCCCAGCACAATCTGGTCATTTATTTATACCACAGCTCTGAATGTTTGTTTTGTTCAAACACATTTTTATGGTTTAATCTATTTGATTGCACACTACCAAGGATATATCCAGGGAAAATAAGCATTACATTATTTACCAGTGTAGACATTAGGGACCCACACTCAAAGGTAATGCTTCTCCCAGCATTACTGACCCTCTTTGATTTACCTTGAAAGTTTAAATGTAACGCAAGTACAGGAAGCCAAGGTCAGGGATGCACTGTCTATATCTATGTTTATCTTTTAATTGCCAGAGCATCTCCCTACTGTCTTATGCTGAAAGACTTTCAAATGGCTCCCTGGTCTTCATCATCCACTTCAAATCCTGTGAGGACCTTGATGAAAACCAAAAGAGAGGTGGAATTTCCCCCACCTAAACCTTTCTTATCTGTGTTGAGAGCCAATCAGATCTAAGTTTGAGGTTTCATTCTCTCATAAAGAGAATAGAAAATGGTGCAAAACCTCAAATAATGACTTCTTTACCTACATTCCAGCAGTTTGGTGCTCAGTTGAGTGACCAGCACCAGCACTCCACTACACCTGGCTCCAGCAAGATGCCTCATGAAATTCCTCAGCAACCCTCCTTAGTCCTGAAAGAAGACAGAGAGATCCGTGCCTCTACTCTCTCTCTTCCTTCCTCTGATCCTGTCAGCACACGGCCCTTGGGTAAGAGCATTTGGATGGGAAAAGATAACTAACATTTTATTGAGCTCCTCCTGGGCATCAAATGCAAGAATTCCACAGGATAAATATTATCAATATTATCCCACTTAAATATGAGAAAAGACAAGACTCAGAGAGGGTTAGGACTTACCAGCATAACAAAGTGAATAAATGGCAAGGCAGAATTTGAGGCTAAGGCATGTTTCTTACTAAATCTTACAAATGTGACATGCCAAAAAGGCATCTGTCTTCAGATTTATCAAGGAGGTCAACATTTTAAAATACATGTAATAACAACCTAAACATGGGGACCCAGCTCCATTTTAAAACCAACTCCAAAACAATCCACTATACAGTAAGATAGGCACATTCTGAGGTTAATGCAAAAATCTAGACCTTATTGGGCCTTCCCAGCCAAGCAAAATAGCAGAGTAATTGTGCTGCCTGTCCATCTTATGAGCACTTAGGAACATCTTCTAGTCAAGCTGTGAGCTCTAAGGCACAGAACTTTACAAGTAACAGAGCAAATATAAATTCCAGGATAGCCAGCTCTAAGAACCTATTTTAGATGTGCTAAAGTTCTTACAACTTTAGAATCCAAGTATGAACTTTAAAATAACCTAAGATGCTCAAAGTGACACGCAGTTCTACATGCAGGGATCTGTTCTTTAACTGCTCTCATGTCCAGAAGGACCAATGTAGCTTTGTATCTAAAACCCATATACAGTAAAGTAGTTAAGAATAAGTTTTCTATTACCAATTTTGAAAGCTGCTTAAAATACCTAACAGAAGGCCATAACCACTTAATATGGGAGGAAATCAGGAACTTAATGTCATTTGCAAGAATGATTTCTACTTTTGCTGAAATTTTGTAAATCAAGCTGCACAGTCCTTATGGGCATAGTCCAGCAGTGTATTCAGTTACTCAGAAAAACTTTACTTAAGTACAGTTTTAGTTTTTGGTGTGTACAGTCAAAGAGATGGCAAAGGAGAGATTAAACTGGCCCATACTCTCTTCAGCCCTGTTAAAGATGAGCTGTCACCTCCACTTTAAGCAGGTGGTGGGTGTGCCAAATTATGGAAGAAAAATAGCCCAACTGATCAACATTCACCAAGTTGGGAAGATAAGGGATTCTCAAACATCATGCTGTCCTATCAAGTAATAAAGAATTACATGAATGAGAAGCATGTTTCATTGGTCACTAAACTTGACCGAGACGCACAGCCTGAAGTGCTCCCTGTGAAAGCTGACCATCCACCTTGAGAGATCCCACTGAATGGACTCCAAGTTTGCAGATATCTGATAGTGAAATCCACTCAGCAAACAAACACATGAACTGCACACATTCAGCAATACAAAGGAATTGCACCCAACACTGACTCAGAGTGTGCTTTGTTACATACTGTGTGTTTCTTAGCACCTACAACTTTAGGAAGGTTCTAGACTGTGAAAAGTCCATTTAAATTCAAGTTTCTGTGTGCCTCAATGAGGAAGCACATTAAATCCCTCCTGATTCTCCAATTGCCTCATTCATTTCCAACAGCAACCATAAATAAAAAGGCTAACTGAGCCTCCAGGAGAGATCTTCACTGCTTCATTTCACTTAACATAAGTTTTATTGAACTTCTCCTATCTACCAGGCAGTGTTTTGGCCCTAGGGAAAAAAATTAAGTGGGAGGGAGGGGGACATTTCTTAACCTTACAAAGCTGACATTCTAGTAAAAGATTTAGCACAAACAATGAGTTATACATGTCATATTAAAAATTTAGGAAAAAGTTGCACCTTATATTTTATAGACTTTCTTACTTTCCTGAAGACTCTCATGTATTTCATTTGATGCTCCCCACAATCAGGCCATTGGGCAGGACAAGAATCACTAAAATCACTTAAGAGTTGACAAAAGAAAGGCACAGAGAAGTGACAAGGCCCACCTCAGATGGAAAGCTGGTGGTAGGCAGACTGAGGCAAAGCATGTTGCTCCTGGCACCCTGCTGGCACTTTCATTGACTGTCACCCACTGAGGCTGGCTCCGATTCAGGGTTCAAGTCTGAGAATATCCAGAGATAACCAAAAGACATAGGTGTCATCTAAGCTTCTACTTCCAGAAACCCCAAGGCCGGGCCACTTACATCCCACCCTCCAAAAATAAACACAGACACATAAACCTAAAACCAAATGCAACAAATTAGGAGGTCAACCCCCACTTCACAGTATAAACCACACATGCTACCAATACAAAGAAAAACCTGCTTGCTCATTTGGTGGCACTATAGCTGAGAGGGAGAAAAGAACTGAGATGTATTTAGTCTGTGCCAAGTGCTGTATTAAGTTTTGTGGCTCATTTATTTCTCATGGCAACCACATTATTACCTTTATTTTATGAAGTAAAAAAAAACAAGCAAAACAAGGAATTTAGAATGAGAAATAAAGAATCCCTTTCTCACTGATCTTAAATGTTTTTAAGCACCTGAGCATTAAATGCTCAGGCTCAGCAATTTTATAGTTGAATAGTAAACTTATTTTTCTTCAGGTATTTTAGTAAATGTAGAAATACTTATTTTATATATATTCACAGCCCGCTGCGAATATACTTGTTTATTAAGCAAAAAAGTCATATTTAATCTGACATCATGCAATCTGATATCATATTTAATTCTGATATCATTCTATCAGAAAAATTAAATTACTAGTTTTTTACATCTGGAACTTGGTACAACTTTCTTGAGAAGAACACCATCTAGAACAGTTAGTACTGTGACAAGCTCTGCTTCACAAACATTATCAAAAAGAAAAGCCTTTGGGAGGGATTTTGAGGAACAAGTATGAAAGACACAGAGATGAGGACTGGGGGGGAGGGGAATGGGAAGGAGGGGGGAGACCGGGCAGGGGGGTGGGGTGGGATGGGAGAAATAGATTAAAAAAATGTACTTGAAAAGTAACTAAATAAAATTTAATATTAAAAAAAAGAAAGAAAAGCCTTAAAGGGAAGTTAAGGGGAAAAAGGGGGAGGGATTTGGAGGAACAAATAGGAAGGACACAGGGACAAGAACTAAGGGGGGTAGAAATGGGAGGGAGGTGGGGAACAAGGGGCGGGGGAGGCTGGGATGGGAAAAATAGACAAAAAACTGTACTTGAAAAATAACTAAATAAAGTTAATTAAAAAAATAAAAATAAATAAAGAAAAGCCTTAAATTCTACTCACCTTTAAGCTATATGAAAACCAATGTTAGTCCTTGAAATGGTCTTATAAGAGACAGCAGTTTGATGTTACAAATGTAGAGCTTGAACTGCTAAGAAGAAAAATAAAGAATTTCAGTGAACCATTTATTGGTTTCACTTAGCACACCATCCCCTTCCCGAAGTTCCAAAAAATATTTGAGGACTGTTACAATTAAAGGCACAAATACAAAAATGAATCAAATAAAAATACAAAAATAAGCATCAAATAATAAAGAAAAGGAAGACAGAATTTGAGTACAAAATCTGGGGTAAGGGGTGTGACTGAACTGGGGACAAAATCTCCCCGCCAGCTCTTGAGCAGCCTCAGGGGTGCTGAGTTCTTATCTTCCAGTCAAAGGATCCACACTTGTTCCTTCAAACACACAGGCTTTTTCTTCAACAAGGGGCCACAGACAAATAATGGACAATGTCCTTATTGGATTTTGAGGGATTTTTTAATCATAAACATGCTAAGTGAGGCTGTGAAAAGACCAATTCCTTTCTTAATCCAAATTATCTGGTGACCACACAGATCCACCAATGCTTAACTGTAAGCAGAGGCAGGCCCAGCCACACTTTTTTCCTCCCATGAAATACATGTTTAATTTTGGGGGAGGAACACTGACCCCTACTTAGTGAAGATCTAGCTAGGTTAATAACACGAGTGATTCTGTCAACAAGGCTGTCTTTACACCTGCCCTCCACTCTGTTGGTAGAATGTTCTCTATTTACTGCTCTAGACTTTGTCCACTTCCTGGTTACACAATCTGTCACCTGCATCCTCATCCCAACTTGATGAGTATACTCTATGCATCAAGCCATTCCAGGTCGTATCAGGTGACCACCTTATGCCTTACAAAGTAGTTTCAGGTAAACTCAGTTAGCTAGCTCTACTTCAGATACCAGAAGCACCTCTCAGCTCCCAGCCTACCAATGTGTAGGATTGCACTCCTGTCCAAGGTTGAATAAGCCTTCATCTGTCTAGCTTGTGTGCTGCAGTGTACTCTCCAGGAGACTTGTCCCTCAAAGTGTGTTTCTGCCATATGTCACTCCTGAGTGATCAACCAATGCTAAGACACCCAGATTTTTTAAAATGACTGTCTAGCCAGAGGATATTGTGAGATTCCTATGGAGGTCCACCAGAACACATAAGCCAAACACCTAGCTATTTTTATGTAATTCCTTCTAATCAATATTGTTAACCTATAGACATTACTTTCTCCTCCTGTTTTCTACCTACTGAGAGAAGAAAACAATCTACTTCTGATTTTCCATTTGATAGATTTTATTCTTCAACTAGGAGTGCTCTCATCAGTCTTCCTAGGATTTGAATGCTTGGATTTCTTGGGAACAGAGGTCAGTGGAATAACCAGAAAGATACTGTGGTAGGCAAAATTCAAAGATGACCCCCAACAGACCACTCCTTTGTATCACTCCCTACACTTGAGTGCAGGAAGAATCTGTGACCTGCTTCTAACCAACAGAATATGGTAAATGTAATAAGATGTCACTCCCTTGATCAGGTTATATTATATAAGACTACATCTCGGTAGACTAGAGAGTGAAAGACTCACTTTCAGGCTTTAAACCAATAAGCTGCCATGTCATTACAGGGCTTGTGAGGGGCCACACAGCAAGGAACTGCAGGGATCTCTGAGATCTGAGAGCTGATGGCCTATGAAAAAAATGGGGCATCAGTACTATAGCTACAAGGAAATTAATTCTGCTAACAACTTGAATGAGCTTAGAAGTGGATTCTTCCCCATTCACATCTCCAGATGAGAACACAGCTGGGTGAACACATTGATTACAGCCTTCTGAGATCTAGAACTGAGAACCAGCTAAGCCATGCCCAGACTTCCGACCCATGGAAACTGAGATAGGTGTTGGTTTAAGCTAGTAAGCATATGGTATTTTGTTTTGTAGCAACAGAAAACAAATTTAACTCAGTAATTAATTAAATATGGGGATATACAAAATACATATGTATTAAATCCATGTATAATTGTACATCAGAACAGCCCTCCCTCCGCCTCATCCATCCAGAAGTGGAAATTCATTTATCCTACTTGACTATGAGCGACTTGTGGGCAAGAACCACATCATCATCACCCTAGCATCCCCAAGATTTTACAGAGTATGTAACACATGGAAGGCTCTTAACATTTTTTAAATAAGCAAAATTAAGAGTTATGATTTATCAATAAAGCCAAAGCAATGGAATTAATACAATCATTCAGAACAGAGCTTAAGAACCTCAAAATTAATCTCAAAATAGGTGGAAGACACTTAGCCTCATGCTCTACCCCCAAATAATGGATACACAATTTTTTACTACTGGTTATTTCATTTTACCTATGAACCTAGTCAGTGCTTAGAAATGTTGCTCAGTTGTGGGGTTTTTTTGGGGGGGGAGGTTGCCAAAAATCCTTGCCGCTTCTCTGGCATTTAGTTATCCAACAGCTGAAAGTTAAAAACAAAAAAACTCCCTAAGAAATTTTTAAATAAGAATCTGTGACTTCATCTTTATTTTCCATTCATAACAATAATGCATTCCAAATCAAAATGAAAAAAAACTATACAGGTCAAATGACCCAATTCTAATTCTAAAACAAAATGCCAATCCAACTTTCTGAAAACCTATTTCAAAGGCTCTTTAAGAATTTTAAATTTTTAAACTGATGAATTTTAGTTCTTTTAAGTAAGATTTCATTTAGTCTGTGTAAAATAAAAATTAAATGCATAAATATAGTTTCTGCTATTCTTAAGAAATAAAGCTTTTTTATTTCTTAAGAATAGAAATAAACAATAAAATTATTGTTTTTTATTACAAAGAAGATTGTGACTCAAGTTGTATTTACTTTATTTAGAGTTTTGAAAAACCTGGTTTACTAAAAGGGATATTTTAAAATATTCAAATCAGTAAAATTACTTAAGAGAGTACAAAATGAAAACTTCATTCATTACAGAAATCTATCATGCTCTCTTAAAACCTATATTCAGGATGTTACTATATACTCCCACTCCCTCATAAATCACTCAGTAAACGTGAACATTATCTCCAAGGTTTGTCCATTCCCTGGTGCTCAGTCTCTAAGGCAGCAGCTCTCACACTTAAGCCAAGAACTAAAAACACCAGTTCCATGACATGTGAGGCAGAGAATTTCAATAAACTTACCTCTTCTTCTTAGCATAATTTTCACTCTCTTGGGCTAGCGCTATGTGTGAAAATAGCCAGTGACCCACAGCAAGTTACTGCAGGGATCACTGATATTCCTCCCCATGCAGAGTAAGAAATAGGCCCAGATGATAGACCCTACCCAGATCCCTTCTCTCTCAGTTCTAATAAATGCATGCCTTTCCCATAGTCTTACATAACACAGCTTGACACAAAGTCCAGCACTTAAAAAAAAGAAAACTGAGTATCAATGTTATGCCCCACAAAGGAAATTAAGCTTTCAGAAGAATGGTTCACTTGACAGAAACAGACACTGAAGAGATTTAATAAGGATAGGCACTCAAAGAAAGTACTGGCAGTTTCTCTTAAACATAGTATATACCCTGCTGCTCAAAGCACTTGAAGAATCTATGCATGGTTTTCCAAAGTGATAAAAGTACAGTTCGGTGGGTCAGATGATCTCACTAACCCCAAAGCACCTCCTCAGTGGAGATCCTCATGTTCAGTGGATGCAGTCTGGGAACCATAAACTAACTGGGGAGAAGCAGAACAAGAGGTGAAGTGCATGTGTTCCTCAAAAGTAACACATACCAAGGAACTACCTTGGTCCTTGAATGGCAGGGAATACATGAATGGCAGAAGGCTGAAATGTCACAGGACAAGTAAGGCACATTTATTCTTCACAACATTCTCACACTCTCTTTAAGGCAAAGGAAGGCATTTGTTCTGGACAGAAGTTAAGAGAGAAACATGGCCACATGCTTCCTTTCTCCGAAACAGGACAGGCCCAGGTGGCAACTGGGTTCTGTAAAGTCCAGTCACTTAAAATACAATGACCCGCCCTTGCTGGTGTAGCTCAGTGGATTGAGTACGGGCCTGCGAACCAAAGGATCAAGGTTCGATTCCCAGTCAGGGCATATGCCTGGGTTGCAGGCCAAGTCCCAGCAGAGGACTCACGAAAGGCAACCATACATTGATATTTCTCTCCTCTCCTTTCCTTCCCTTCCCCTCTAAAGATAAATAAATTTAAAAAATTAAAAAAAATACAGTGACTCCTGGAGACAGGAGGAGAGAGCCATTTCATGGAAATTATAAACTGGGATAGGGAACAACACAAAATAGTAAGTAATATACTTTAGTGTCGCAGAAAGAGATTAATGAAAACAGAAAACAGATGTCTTCTTCCAGAACTATTTTTGCTTGATGACATTTTTCAGAACTATTGGGATGTTCCTTAAGAATGGACCCAAATGCAGTAAAATGCATACATTTTTGCATCAGGTACATTTTCAAGACATAAAATGCATGTGTGCATTTATTCAACCCATAAATGCCACAATTTTTGTTTTGGTATCTTTCTCTCATGGAGCTGAATTATTTTAGAGTAAAATAATGCCAAGAAATATTGACCACAGGTGTGTCTTTGAGGCCCAAGAACTCAGCACAAGAATCTGCTTTCTCACTAGCTGAGAGTGGCCTGAGGGGCCCCCAAGAAGCACTGCCAGCAGCCTCCCTTACAGAGCACCAGCATCACACAGGGTCCAGCCATCAGGCCACAGCCAAGGGCTTGATAAGTTGCTTCTTAACAAAGCATAAGAAACCATTTCATTGGTGTGCCTTTCAAAATTGAGAAACACACAGACAGGGAGTTTGCACAACTCCCAACAGATACTAAGCCAGTCAGCCCAGAGGAAGAAGAGGGATCCCAAAGCCAGAAGCCGTCTGTCGGCTGTCTGGCTTACTTTTAGGTGAGTTTTCTGTTCCCAAAATAGAAATGAAGGACCTCTTCAAGCAGATGTATATTCTGTTTCCTGGGAAATAATAAGGCATGGCAGTGGCTATACCTACAAATCATCTCTTCAAGAGTACAGGGAACTGACCAAGGGGGCCTTC